CCTCAACCTGTTCTGCCACTGGGAAGGTGAGAGCAGGCAGAGGAGGCTGGGGAGGGTTGACAGGTGGATTTTGAGTTTACAACACAACACCTGTGGCGGAGATAATGTGCAGACTGGACAGTACTGCAGGAAGAGTACTTGAGCAAGCGTAAGTGGGGACAGATGGAGCCATCGCACTGCTAGTGATAAGATGCCTGCAATACCTCGGAGTGACCTCCTGGTTCCAGTTTCCATCCGTTACTACTGTGTGTAGAGAGTAGCTGACAGGAGGGATTCCTTTCAGAGTCCAGGTAGCTGTGCTGGTGTAGGCTGAGGTGTGGTGGGAGAAGTGCTCTGAAAATAGCTGTCCTTTGGTAGGCTGACAGGTTTAGGGTTGGTAGGTGGTGAAGAAAGAAAAGATTGTGAGCTGTTTGACACAGCAAGTGTAAATTGCATATTAGCTGAGCTGGTGAGCACATGGTTAAGTATCCAGGGGACACTCTGGGCTAGAGATTCTTAGGATACTGCTGGCCTTTTCCCAGTTGAGATGACGAAGCTCGCTGGCCTGTTGCACACCCAAGGCTTCCACTAACACTGCTGCGCCAGCTTCACCTGATGACAGTTCACTAATCTCCTGTATGGTGCTCATCACTTATACTTCTTAGCTTATTATCTTGTATGGCCATACATCTAACGAACAAGGCCCAGCTCTGAGCCCAAGTGGGCTCCAGACCTACCTGTCCTACAGCATGGCCTGAGGCACTTGGCCTCTTTGGGAAGACTGCAGCTTGGTAGATCTTACCATGTGTGATGGCTACATGACTCCATGCAGAAGATAATGAGGTTTACTATCTGGGATTCTGCTTAAAAATATGTATTAGTATCAGTGGGTTTGGCTGAGAAACTTTTATTTATCACGACTGTTACAAAGAAAGCACCTGCCTTTCCTAAAAACTAAATTGTATAGAATATCATATAGTTTGTGGCAGTCAAAGGGGAGATACAAGTTGAATATATGGAAGAGTTGAGTTTATAAAAAATGTGATCAGGAGCAAGAGAATTCATTGCTAGAGTGTTGGAGCACAGTGCAGAAATCACATGGAAGTCGTAGGCTTCTCCTAACACACAAAGTGGTTATTGTACAGATGTAAATTTAAGTTACTTCCCACTTGGGAGCCCACTGTAGTAGGCCCAATGTTGTTGTTTTCCCTACAGTGTGTAGTGTTACTGTGGAGGTTGCTGTGCTGAGGGTATTGTATATATGGCGGCCTCTCTTCCCTGCTTCCCAAGCTTATCTACCTCCTTTCCAGACTTACTTAGTCCCAGTTCCTAGCACAGAAGAATTAGGAAGCAGACTTCTCAGACTTCCTCAAAAGATGGGAGAACCCAAGTAAAGCTTTAAAGACTTGTAATGCTTAATGCTTGGATTCACTGCTTCATTCGCTTGTTTCCCTCAACAAGCACAAGAGGGCAGTAAGGGGTTAGGAACTGTCAGTCTCAAGCAGGAATGGAGTCAGGCCTTCCTGAGTCTTTCCTCTTGATGGGGCTGTCTGCATACTGGAATGAGGTTGCTAGGAGGGAAGCCACCCTCCCTGTCATCTCTTCTGTGGTTTTGTTGGGGGCTAGAGTGTAAACCTATGCAGGCTCTTGGTGTGACTTAGTTTCCTACTCCAGACTAAAAATACAGACATTAACATGATTTTTGCTTTTTTAAAATTTATTTAGCTCTCTGATGACAATAATGACCTTTTG